TGTGCGATTCTGGTAACTATAGAGCTTCTGCTTAGAGTCCGGACACAAATTGTGGAAAAGTCCTTCTACAACCTGACTAGTCAAGACTATCTAGGTTTCTCACCCTCCAAACGTGTTGCAGCTTCATCCAACCCTCAAGTCTTTAACTTCGAAAATCCTAGCCCCGACTTGTTCAACATTTTTCTAAATTTCTCAAGTCCCAACTCAATGTCTTCGCAAGTTTGCCTTGGCGACCCCCATCAGTATCTTGAACACTGACATAACAGAGCCTTCTCAAATTTGACAGTTCATGTAATGCTCTCGCACCCTGCACAGCTGTTCGCCCACCTTCCTGTCGAATCGCTACCTACACTTTTTTTCAAATTCCATATTCGGACTCGTGCCATTCAAATATTTCAAATCCCGGACCAGAGGCTTGAGGCGATAACCACACGAGACAAGAAGAGCCAAAACCAGATTGGTGCATCGCACCAGGGACACCTAGAATCGCTCACTCAAGTCAGGCTTCGTTGTTGGCGTGTTGCCGTCCAGCGGAGCTGAGCCACTCGACCAAATCTTGCGCGAGACAGCTGTTGTACGGCCTGGTTTCCTTTGATACGCGTTCTTGTCGCAACTTCAGCTGTCAAGCTGCTAACGATTCATGTCGAAACAGATTTTTGTCCGCCGAGGTCTTGCATCTGGCTCTTCGAGGTCGGCACATGCACTTTCCCTGCCGCTCTTCCACAACTGGCTAGAATCGTTAGAAGCAGCCACAAGATGTGCAACGGCGGTACTCGCGCAACATTGCTTTATTGTTGCGATCCCAGCAGGTGTCAGCAAGTTCGTAGATGCAATTCCCCCCACATCCTGATCCCCACCAACAGTTTGACTCGGATTGCTTCAAGAATTACATGTTGCTGTCTAGTTCATGTTGCCTGCGTGATCTTCTGTGGCTTTGATCTCTTGTCCCATTAATTTTTTGTGGGGAGTTCCTGTTAGGTTGGGTTCGTCTCAGGAATTGCAGATGCTGCTTGCATGCTTGGGCAGCAAGGGTGCTCTTCGCGGGGCGCTGAGTGGTCCAGAACTGTAAATCGAAAGGAGGTGAGGTGCCGCGAAGCGCTTGTAGCATGATGTCGTGTCTGTGGCTGGACCCAGGTCGTGACCTCGACGATTGTTTTTCCATTTCGCCCACTCTGCTTGGGACGGGTGGATGTGGCAAAGTCTATTTGGGGAAATCTGAGTGGAACCTTGGCTCCAACCTGCTGAGCCTCCTTGTTGGCTTGGAACTGCTTGGACACTCTAAATCTTGCCAAGGGATCTACCGCCGGTTTCAGGAAATTCTGCGACTCGGCTGTGTGGTGGCGGTGCCGCATGGCTTCGCTTGTCAATGTCATGGTCAGGTGACCGCCGGTGGTCGCGTAGCGCTGAAGGAAATTGCGCCGAGACAGATCCCAATCGAAGAGCTGGTCAGGAGTTTGCAGTGCTTTCTTCTTGATTCAAGCTTCAAAGGCAGCATGCCGTGCAGTTAATTGTGTTTTCCCTCGCCTGTGCCATGTGCATTCCTCATTTGTGCAGTGTCCAGCAGGCTTCAAACCACCTCGGACAGGGCAACTACACAACAAGACAGGAAGATGCTGACAAAACACCTCTCCGTACGTCATGTGCTAGGAAGAGGTAATGGGATGGAATTCTATTAAGCTTCCTGTGCATTGGGTTGCCTGATGGCAGCCCACGCTTTGCCAGGAGTGAAATCAGTTTTCTGACAGACGTCCATGGACACCCGACTCCCGGCGCGCACGAAATTCTTGGCTGCTGCGGCCCTGAGAGAAATCTTTCATCGCATGCGAGGAACGTGGCATCCCTCTTCGGTGTATTCTGCAGTCGCAAGCAGCATGGCGAGGCTCGTACAAGCATGCATGATGAGCTACTGTGATACAGTAACACATCAAGATCACGCGGAAACCCTGAGGCGTTGAGCAGGTAGGTAGCTTACTTGAGCGAAAGACCAAGCCCTCATTTCGGCTCGACCGCCAGATTTGGGAGTTTGAGAGTTGAAGACATCATTCACACTTTGCAAGGATCAGGGCAAAGACCGCTGGTCCACGCCTTAGTTAGACATTTTGCCAATGGCCACCTTTCTTTTCAGGGATGAACAACAAGATCAGGTTTGTGATCTTTACTTCAAAAAACATTATATGTATATATATATATATAAAGGCCAGGCCTGATGGGCGCTGTCTCTCCTCTCCTAGTGATACATGCATGCCGTGATTGAGAAGATGAAAGACTGAGTGTGTTTGGTCCGGAGGTCAGCGTTTGCTGTTCATGTTCTTCTTGGCAAGTCGTGCCACTGAGTGCCCTAGCACGAGTCAAGGCTCCTTGCGTTGGAATTGTACACCGGGGGAGACCTCTTTGAGCGTGTGCTGAAACATGGAGCCATGAAGGAAGCGGACGGAGTGCCTGAGGCTGCGTTGGCATCAGGTTCCAACATCGCTGCAATGAAGAGTCTAGTTTTTCTGAGTCCTTTTTCCGGAAAGGCTACGGCTGGGGGGCCCCCAGGCAAGTGGTCGATTGTTGTGTGTGTTTTTTTCTCAAAGCCCAGTCTGGCCTGGGGTTGGGTACTTCTTTGGATTTCCCAACGGGCGGGCAGCGATACGGAAGGGCCACGCGGTGTGGTGCGGCGGGTAAAGGCCTCCGAGTCTTCGGCATCCGGGGAGGTTGGTCGAGGAGGGTGGGGCGGTTGCGGACAGTGGTTGCTTGCGGCAGCGGATGGTGGTCGCGTGCGGCATATGATGCGGTGCGGGCATGCGGAGCGTTGCGGAGGTTAAGGCCTCCGAGTCGTTGGCGTCGGGCAGGTTGGTCGCTAAACTGTCGGCTAGGGAGAGTGGCTGCGAGGACAAGGGGTGGTGGTGGCGGTGGGAAGGGTGCCCGCGAACGGGTGCGGCGGGGCGGCGCGGGGTGGTGCAGCGCGGTGCGACGCGGGTGGTGCAGGACAGGGAGGGTGCCGCGAGCACGGGGTGCTCCCAGACGCTCGCATTTGTGGCAGCGGTGCGGATAAAAAGCTAACACACTGCTCTTGCGGGAAGTTTTTGGATTTGCTGGTTGACCTTGCTCCCCCTGTTTCCATCGCCTTACACGATTCTTTTCGATCTCCATTGTGTTCCATCATGTTCAGTTACCATTATCTTGCACTGGTTCCTAAATTCAATCCACAAATTTCTGTGCTGCTTCCATCATTTCAACAGCATTTTGAATAATATTCCTCCTGTTCCATTGGTTTACATCACGTTTTAACCATTTCCAATTTTCCTATGGTAAGAACGAGAGGAACCATAAGGGTAAATAGCAGTCATAAGACGAGCGACCATAGTCATCGTTTGAAGGCCCACCAGAACGATGGCCGTAGTAATAATTAACTATGTTCAAGATAATGCAAATCATGATAGAAATGCTTTCTGGGTGGACCTGAGGCTGAAGTCATGCTGGGGCTCCTCTCTGCGCTGGCGCATGTGCACAGCCTGGGCATCGTTCACCGCGACGTCAAATGCGAAGCTGGATGGAATCAAAGCCGGTTTCTGCCTTCAGTAATTTCCTTAGTTGGCGGGTGAAGGAACAACATGTTGGGACGGCACTGTTGTGAGGCCCTCTAGTAGAGCGAAAGGTTATTGAATGTTGGTTGCACTATCAAAGGAAAGGGGCAGAGAACAAGAGCGCATGCGCAACACATTCTGTGGGCTGCTAGAGCCAGACGATCACAAATTCCGAATTGACACTTCACTGTCCAGGAAAATATTCTGATCGCCGAAAATCGCGCAGTTCTTGCCGACTTCGGCACCTCTGCAGATGTGCATGGCAAGTCAAAAAGTATCAAGTGTTGCTCCATGTGGTCATGGCTCAGTCTGCCGCCCCTGTCCAGGCATTGCTGCCAGCCTCAATGATGCCAAGGCAATGGAGAAGATGCTTGGCTACAGCAAAGATTCAGCACTTCCAGCTACGCGGGCCAGACACCCAGGTAAGCAGCGTGCCCAACGCATAGGCGCCAAATGTCCTGCATCCTGTGCTTCTAAGGAGAGTTGGGTCTCCTGGCTATGCCGCACCCGAAGTTCTGAAGCTTGGAATGGAGTGTGCATGTCGTCACTGTCGCAGCTGCTTTTGTTGTTTAGCGTACAGAACCTACGAGTAAGAGCCCACAAGTTGATGGCAGCGATCAGCATGAAGAGTGTTGTTGCTATGGTGTAGATTCCGAGCGTCGATCGTCTGGCAAGATATAGCCAGAAGTCAGAAGTCATTATTCGCCTTGGACCGGCCGCCTTGAAGCATGGAGAGACTTGTTGTCCTTATGACCGAGGATGGGTGAGCAGCTTTGCTGGCATTCCAGAAATGTTGACACCGAAGAGTGAGGTCTGTCAATGAAGGGGTTTACTGGCTCACAAGGTGTGCCACTAATTGCAGCCTGAGGGGGCAGAGCAGTTTTGCACGAAATTCCTGCGAGGGTTTTCGTGTAGCATGCGTAAGACGAGGCCATATGCTGAGAAGGTGGACGTTTTTGCGGCCGGTGTGGTGCTGCGCCTCGTTTCTGGCATCACAGGATTGCTCTTGCAGTTGTTGTCGTGTTCAGTCTTTATCACGAGAACTGGTAGAAGCGCACAACAACAGCTAACAGCTCGGTCTGTCATTGCAGTTGCTTCGGCAGCAGCTGCTGATACGTCGGCTTCCAGTTATCAAAACCTTGACGCGTTTCAGCTGTCCATTGCTCCAGCCAGGCCCTTGCTTTTTCAAAAGCCCAGGTACTATTGTCTATCGGCGGTGCTTCCATTTGCGGATAGTAACGTGGAGAGAGTCCTGGCCGCAATTCCATAGCTTCGAAGTTTTGGCAGATACGTCCTGCCCAAATTCCGGCTGTCTACTGTGCTGTCCAATGTGTGATTCCAAGTTCTCCACTCTTGATTCAGCTTTGTCCTAGGAATCCTTGCCAGGACCGTGCGTGCCGGGCTCAGAGAAGGTCAAACAGAGGTCTTGTTGATTTGCCTGTGGATCTGACAGCGAGCTGCCTGCTTAGCTCGTGCCCCCGGCAGGATGCAAAGTTCGCATGGACCGCACGAAGTTTCAAGGGCTTTCTGGAGGCTGTGTCGTGGCAACAGTTCCTGGGAGACCTGCGACTAAATTCAAAAAACTAAGCGGCTTGAGCTGCAAGCGTGGAACAGTTTACGTCCTCCACATTGAGTGCTGGGTCTTCCATGGCAAGAGATTTGGGGCGTTGAGGTACGGATGCGGCATTTGAGGCAGGAGTAGAGATTCCCTTGCAGGCATTCTCAAGCTCACCAAAACGCTGCTCTCGAAGGACAGCAGATCGTTTCTCATAGTCAACATGGGACACGGTAGGATGTGCTTTGCCATGCTTTGCTTATTCGTGGGGGTGAATGAGTTAGCCTGATTTCTCGTGGGGTGAGCAAGGCTCCAAATGTGAAACGCGCTTTGGCCTTGTCATGAGGGCATATTATAGGACCCTTCGCAGCGGCCGACGGCAAAAAGGTCGTTCTACGCTCTTTGGATTCTCCTGTCGCCGCAAGATCGCAAGTCCGATCCTTGGAGGCATCAGCCCCCTGCGCCTTCAGGAACAGCACAAGTCCAAAATCTTGTGAATCCAAAATCCTACGCCTCCTGCGCAGCTGCGCCCCAGAAGATTTTTGCTGTTGATTTCACCTGAGGACATTGCTCGGCAGTCATTTCAGGCTGTGCCGGACGACGACGACCCATTGGTCGACCCGCTTTCAAGTTGTCCGCTGCCTGGTATTCTGGATGCGATATCTCCGAGCTCAATCGGGCGGAGAGACGAGAGACACTAGCTTACAACGAAGCCGCGATGATGCTGCAGTTACAGCAGAGTTCCTTCAGAAGGGGTTGGGTGGACAAATGAGGAACGGATGTACACTCCGGGGGGGAAGTGTGCAGATGTACACTGCAGCCTCTCTTTGATTTTGCCATTCTTTCAATTTCGGGGTTGTTCGGGGAATTCCACTTGGCTGAAAGGATCGCTTCAAGGGTTTGGCCAAGAGTTTTCGAAAGTCTAAACTGAGGATGTCAGGCACGGCGAACCTACCGCTACCGTTCAGCTTTATGCCGCGGAAGCAAACAAATTGGCTGACTCATTTTTTCTTTCGCAAGCTGAGGACTCTCTACACTGGAAGAAGCTGAAAAGCTCGTCAAGCAGCTGGGTTCAACAGCAGCTGCCCAGAAAACGGGCCGTGTGAAGACTAACGTTTGCCTAGGTCCGAATAGTGAGAGGAAATGTTGAAGCAAAAGGTTTCCAGATTCTTATCACCTGGTTTAGTGCTTGCACATGACGTGTTGGTTCAAGGTCAGAGCCGACTTGCCCAGGGACACCCAACACACTTTCTGTGCGGCATGGGCCGCCAGCGAAGGCCTCTCGTACGTGACACATGTGCTGGTTGGTGTGCAGTCGTTGTATATGGCGCTATATAACTTGAGGTGAAAAGATCCCTGGTAGCTTTGGGGCCGAGCAAGCGGGAGGAGGACTTGGGTTGAGCCCATGCCCTGGCGCCGGTGGCAACTGGCCTGCATGGAAGGAGAAGCATCGATCGCGGGAAGCATCCCTCAGACCGAGTAAAAAGCAGGACCTGGGAAAGCGGATCAGGTGGCAGTTGGATGGTTGACTGTGGCAGGAGTCCTCCGACAACGTTACCCATAGCAGAGGCAGGTCCCAGCTGTGTTGGGTGGGCGTGGTCCAAAATGCAGGAACTTTGACACATGCAATCCACGGGTGCGGGGAGTGAAGTCGAATCAGCAAGCTCTAAATTCTGCCGAGCGTTCATGAAGAAACAGCTGTTAGCAGCCATTAGCAGCCCTTGCACAACGCAAGGCTTCGCAGCGGAAGAGACTGCTGGAGGCCCGACCTGGTGAGAATTGAATTTGAGCATTGACTCAGCAATCATTAGCGGGGAACTAGGTCAATTTGGAACGCGAATTCGTGTTATTTTGGAACGCGGACAAGGGGATCAATTTGGAACACGGATCAGTGGCTGTCAACACGATTTTCAGGGTTTGCATGCTTTCCACTGTTTTTATGGTTACTCTGGTCTTTCATGGTTTCAGATGGCCTCCATGGTTTCCATGGTTTCTATGGTTTTTATGGTTTCGATGGTTTCCATGGTTTCTATGGTTTCCATGGTTTCTATGGCTTCGATGGTTTCCACGGCTTCTATGGTCTTCATGGTTTCACTGTTTTGCATCGTTCTACGGTTTCTATGGTTGCCATGGTTTCCAGGATTTTTTTAAGGTTTCCAGGGTTTCCACCCGATGTAGGTAATATTTTGGAGTGTAGGCCCAAAGGGATGGTAGGTTTTACATCACGCGCCGTAGACATCTGGTGCCTGCACTTTGGAACGATCCTTGGATTAATGGGGCGAAGCTTGGATTAATGGGGCCATGATGAAAGTAAATCAGAACTCTTCACACCCGTGGACTAGGGGCGTAGCTTGGACTAGTGGGCCGTACTTTGGACTAATGGGAACGATCCTTGGACTAATGGGGCAAAGCTTTGGCTGATGAGGCGATGATAATAACTAAATCTGAACTTCTCACTCGGCGTAGCTTGGACTAATAGGCCGTAGTTTGAACCCATGGGAACAGTCCGTGGACTAAGGGAGCGAAACTTGGACTATCGGCCGATGACAAAATTAGATGTCTTGTGTTCCAAAATGATCCTTTTTGGGTTTTTGTGCTGCAAAATGGCGCTGATCGCTATTCCAAAATGATGCCAATCGGTGTTCCAAAATGATCCCTCCCCCCGCATTAGCGCATGCTACAGGTAGATGGCAGGTGAATTTTCGGACTAGACTCTGTATACAGGCTGCCTCGACACCGCTGAGCCACCTCCCTGTAAAGGAAGCAGAGGACTCGGCTCACTCGGTTCTCGCGAATTTTACGTTTTTCTTTACTCACATTGACATGTCGCCCGGACCCAGGCTTCATGGCGTCCTCTGACCAGCCCGCGCGAGCGCTGTCGTCCAGGTCTATTCGGCCACCAAGCGTCGCGCCATCGCGAGGCTGGGCAGTTTTGCCCGGCACCACGCTTGACCTCTCACTCCACACGTCTTTCAAGCAACTTCTTTCAAGCAGGCTCCTTCCGGTGCCGCATCCGACGTTATGTGGCAGCTATTCAAGGCGGGCTGCATGGCCGCTGCAAAGTACGAGGGATGCTCCTTTGCCAGTGTGTCTGTTGAGTGCATGTGAAGTGTAGGCTTGCATCATCTACCCGCGTAACAGGTGGCACGGAGCGCGTTGCGAGGTCTGCCGCGCACACAGGAGAGAGCGCAGCCGACAACACAATTTCCTGTCTGCTAAGTTTATCACCCGCTTTCTGCGTCCTGCTGCCCCGCCTCATGCTCGTGTTGAGGGTCTCAGTGCTAAACCTGCAGCTAAGGTTGGCTGGCGGAGACAAATATCCCCAGCCAGCAGCCCAATCTTCGGCAAGAGCAGCAGAGTTGTTTACCTGGAGGTCCTGACTGTTGCGACAAAAGCTGACCAAGTCAGGGTGCAGTAGCCATGTCAAGAGTCAAGAGCTTGCTATTCATTGCCGAGTTGTGAGCGTAAATCGTACCAAGTGAAGCACTGGGGATACTATGGTAGGATTTGTGGTTGATATGACATGGTAGTAGAAGGGTTGCTGGCTGGATCCAAATAAAAGAGCAAGCAGCGCTTCGCCATGCTCTTGTCACTTCGCGCTGAGGCAGCGGCTTATGCCAATGCTGCCCCAGGCCTGGATTTGGTAGGATCTCACACTCAGAGTCTTGGAGGTTCATCTTGCTGGCTTCTTTTTTCGGAAGCTCGGCGGTTGCAACTACGCTTTTTTTTCTGACTGTCGTGGAGGACCGCCAAAGATGGACCTCCTCCCGGCGGCGTGCCAAGACAAGCCAGGCGAACGGTGGTAACTGCCTAACCATTTTCGCCTACAGAGCAGTCAACTTGTTCACAGCAGCAGCTTCATCACCGCGATTTACGCAACTTTTTTTGTTTGTTTCAGGAAGGTTTCTATGCTTGTAAGAGCTAGTGACATCACCAGACCCTTGACCAGAACAATGCTTCTTGTGGTAGCCTCACTGCAGCTGAGCCTCTCCAGGTGATGCCTGCTTCGGTATTGTTTCGGCACCGCCCCAGGCGAGTTGAGAACCTGTACAATCATGCGCTTTTCGTCCCGTCATGGCAGACAAGACACATGG